TTTTGGGTAAAACAGAGGGTCTGTTAGGAGATTCCAGAAAGAAAGGGAGAGGGGAACCAGAGGCTTAGTTGTAGTATGAACAATTCTTTTTGAGGAATTTATTCTAAAAGGGAGATAGAAAATGGGGCTTTAGTGTCTGGCAGGTGGCATGGTGGTTAAGGGCTCTGGTTATCCTCATGTTTGACCACAGTTCGAATCTTGGACCTGGTGTCTTGCTTTCTTACTTTCTCTTTCTCTCTCACTCTGTCCTTCTCTGGTCAAATTTGAAAATAAATGAATAAAGTTAAATAAAATAATTTTAAAAAATAAGGAAATGGGGCTTTAGCTGGAGGGAGTGTCTTGTTTACATGAAATAGAATTTTTTTTTAAGGAATTATTTTATTAATTAGTGTTATTTTAATTTTAATTTTGCCAGGGAGAGACACAGAGAGAGATAGAAAAGGAAACTGAGAAAGCAAGCTGTCAGGTCCGGGACTTGAACCATGATTGACCATCTGGGAATCTAGCATCTTAACCACCACACCACTTTTTTTTTTTTTAAGATTTTTGCTCTAGGATATGTGTGCTCACCACAGAGACAGACAGAAAGTGAGAAATCACCTCCTTGGTGGGTGGCCATGCTGAAATCCCTTCTCCGTTCTCAGGATTCTGGGCATGAATGCACACATGTGCCCGGTTTGAGTTTGAATCTGCTGCATCCATTGGTTGGCCATATGGGTGTACCTTCACTGCTATGTCACCTGGCCTCCCTAAATAGAATTTTTTTTTAAGAGTTATTTAACTCCATTTGTTATTATTATTTTTATTTGGACCAGAGACAGAGAGAGAGAGAAAGAGAAAGTGAGAAAGCAAGCCACTGAGTCGGGGACTCAAACTGTGATTTGCCATGTGGGAATTTAGTGCCTTTAATCACCACGCCACCTGTTGGACCCACACGCCACCTGTTGGAATGTTTTAAACTTATGGGTGATGACCCAGAAGAAGGAAAAATTGATACAAGAGAATGTGGGAGGAATTCAAAGAATAGTTTGAGGAATCCATTTTAATAAATCTATTTGCATATTTAGAAGACCTTTGTAGACTAGATTCTTAAAAGAATTTTCTGAGTTGGGGACCAGCAGGTAGCTTGGTGGTTAAGGTGCTGGATACTTCCACATGGCTGAACACGGTTTGAGTCCTGAACCTGGTGGCTTCTCTTCTCACTTTCCCTCTCTCTGTGTCTCTCTCTGGTCTAATTAAAATAAAGGAATAAGTAAATAACATAAAATAAAATACATAATTATTTTAAAAAAGAATTTTCTGAGTCAAAGCATATGTGCATTAAAAGAATCTGTACACATTTGCATTCCACTTTCCATGTATACTCTTGCTAACCAAATATTCTTGATCTTTAAATTTTTTGCCAATCTGATGGGTGATGACATATTCAGATTTTAATTTTTTGTGTCTTTTTTTTTTTTGGAGAGGTTTTTGCTATAGGGTGCATGCACTCGCCAGAGAGACAGACAGAAAGCAAGAAAATCCCCCCTAGAAGGGATGGCCACATCACAATCCCTTCTCCTCCATTTTCCTCTCGGGATCTTGGGCACGCACACACACACACCTGATGTGAGTTTAAGTCAACAGGTCCAAACTCGAATTGTGGTTGACTACATAGGAGTCCAGCGACATAGCCATTGTTCCATCTGCTGGTCCCATTTTTTGTGACTTTCTAGGAACTTTTTCTCTTTTTAAAGTTTGCTATAGGGCAGGAACATTCATCAGAGAGAGAGAGAGAGAGAGGAAATGGAAAGTGAGAAATTACCCTCCCAGGGGAGATGGCCAGGCTACAGTCCCTTCTTTTCCATTCTCCTCTTGAGATTTTGGGCATGCATGCACATGCACCCCACATGTCTTTCAAGCTCCCAAGTCCAGGACTTGGACCACATAGTTAGCCATGTGTGTGATCCATCCCCTTTACTACCAACCACATCCTTGGTTGACCCAGGAGTTTTTTTTTTTTATATAAGCTGTTTAGTCTTTTGTTATAATTTGGCAGATATTTTCTCCTGGCCATCTCTTGCCTTTTAACTTTGCTTATGGTATCCTTTTACCACATAGACTTAACCATTTTAGTAAAATCTGTCAGCCATTTTCTTTTACAGCATTTGGGTTTCATTTAGATGTTACAAATATTATATATAATCTTCTAATATGTTTTTTATGTTTATATTTTTAATTCACCTGGAGTTTATTTTTGTATGTGTTATGAAACAGTTTTTTATAACGTTTTCTTCTCTTAAAAAGTTAAGTATTATAAGAATTAACTGTTTCTTAAAGGCTTGGAAGAAATTACCTATACAATTTTCTAGGCTTAGAACCTTTTTGGAGGGTAGGTCTTTAACTTCTGTGTAATTCCACCCCCCCCCACCCCCCCGTGGTTAATAGTTTATGTGCTTCTTCTTAGTTTTAGTAATTGATTTAGTCCCAGGTGTCATTCTTTTCATCTACATTTTCAAATTTATTGGTTTAAAATTCTACATAAAGAGAGAAAATATAGGGCCGGCCCAGTAGCCTATGGTTAAGGGAGCCATCTTTTGCATGGTGAGTTGTGGCTCAAGTGGTTTGCAGTACACACTGGTGTGTGTGTGTGTGTGTGTGTGCGCACGCGCATGCGTGTGCGTGTTCAAAATCCTAATAGGTTAGAGAAAGGGAGGAGAAATACCCCACTAGGGGGTGCGTTCTCTCTGGTGACTGCATGCACCCTTCAACAATTAAAAAAGAGAAAAAACATGAAGACTTCTATATCCTTGCAGTATATCCCTGTGATTATCCTTTTATCTGGGCAACAAATGCTGGAACCATCCTTTCACAGATCTAGAGGTTGGCTTAGCAGTTTTTCAGCCCCTGTGGCCCTTTATCTCAGAGTTATTCTTAGATTATCTTTCTCTTCTGTTTGTAAAGTTCCTTTAGATTTGCTTCTCATAGATATCGTTTGCTCTTTAATTTACAGAGAATTTCTGTTCAGGTCTCCTGATGGCTATGTGCCCTTAGTTTCCAGCATTTTAATTTTAATATTTTTGTGTTTCATCACTTTGAAGGGGTGAGGGGAAGGATGGGAGGCAAATGCATATTTTCAGTTAACCTTTTGAAAATAGAAAGTTACAGTTCTTTCCTGTGTAGTGTTCTTTTATCATAGTCCTTTGTTTAATTGCTAGTTCCAAAGTAGTTAGTAACTTTATAGCTCAGTAGTGATAGTGAGATGGACTTCACTTTTTTGAAAATGAAACCAGATGTCTCGATAGCATATGCTTATTGGGTGGAAGTGTTCATATATTGTGACTAGATTTTCAAACAGTAATACTTTTAAAGCTTAAAAAGACATAGTCATAACATTTAAAACTATAAACGACTATACAGGTTGTTACCAACTACTTTAGAGACCCAGAGATTCTGAAATTTGGTCTAAGATACTTTTATTTAATACATTGATGTAGATTTTGCTTTGTCTCACCTTGATTATTATGATATAAATGTGCATTTTAAAAGAAGGGGCTGTCAGGGTGTACGCCAGCCTAATAACAGTACTGTTAATTTCCTCCAAGTTTTTTCTTTTCAGCTTATAGACTTTATGTGATTTATAAACTCTGAATTTCTCATTAATATTTTAAAGAAGCTTAAGAAAGATAAACATAAGTAACATAGAGATTTGAAAAATGATTTTAGTGGTAGGATTTTTCAGACCCAAGATTGCTAAGTTCTTAGTTTAAAATAACATGTCACTAGATTGACACCTAAATTTAGAAGGTCTAAAGTACATAGACTTTTCCAAAAAAAAGTGCTTTGCCCATCATTTTTTTCACCAAGCATTTATCAAACTCTCTTTGATTTGTTTAATCTTAACTTCAACAGGAAGTCTTTAGAAAGTATTTCGATGATTGATATCTCATGTTTGGTAATTATATCTTTAGTGCATTACATGTTGAGGGTTTGATATATGTAGAATTCAGTGGATTTTTGTAGAGTTATTTAATTTTTTCCTCCAAGCAGCTTAAGAAGACGGGAAGTTAAAATGTAGTTGATCTAGAATTCTAAAAAATTTGTTTAGATATCTTCAGGTGCTAACTTAAAAAAATTATTTATAGTCACTCCTCACTTAACAACCATGCTGCTCTGGCTAGGTCCTTAAGCAAGCTGGTCCATAAGCGAGGAATTTAATGGGGATGTCTTGTGGTGTATCATGGTGCCATAGGGCATAGATTTTTTTCAGTAGCTATCACGTGATACCACACTAGAATAATATAATTCTGTCCATATTAAAAGCATACATTAAATAAGCACCGGAAAATGACAAGACACACCACAACACAGTAATATGAATCTGGAGTAATTGTTTTTATTTATTTAGAATACTCCTTTGGATGTATAATAAAGTATAAATTTATAAACAAAATATGTAGTCTTTCACGATTATGAATACTTCGTGTAGTGAATAGTAACTGACTGTGGGAAAGAAACAAAGACTAAGAAAGGGGATTCCTGAGAATCACACAGAGAGAAAGGGGATTTCCTGTGCTGGAGAACTGGTCCTGAGTCCAAATGGTTGTTAAACAGGTAGGTCATTAAGTGAGGAGTAGCTGTTCTAACTTATTTTTTATTGTCAGAGGCTACAGGTACTTGCCACAGAGAGAAAGAAAGGGGGGAAGAGAGGGAGAGAGAGAGAGAAAGCCTCCAGTTGGCGTGGTCACTCCACAATCCCTTTTCTCCATTTTCCTTTCCACTAAGAGTTTGGGCACATAGGCACCCAGGCCTGGTACGTTTTTCAAGCTGCCAGGGCTCGGATCTGAACTATAGTTGGCCATGTGGGATCTGGCTTCCTGTGCAAAGTGCTTGACCACTGCTCTACAGGGCCAAGCCAGGTGTGACCTTTTTTATGCTTCACACATGATATGACTGATTGTTTTGCAAACTAAAGAATAGGTTCTATCTCCAGTATGAATTCTAAAAATTCTTTTTCCTAGTTGGTCGTAATGGCAAGTGAAGAAATTAATGAAGACTATCCAGTAGAAATTCATGAGTATTTATCAACATTTGAGAATTCCATTGGTGCTGTGGATGAGATGCTGAAGACCATGATGTCTGTTTCTAGAAATGAGTTGTTGCAGAAGGTATTTTAAAAATGTAATTCCTAAAAAAATGAATTTTATGAAACAGAATGCCTTTTTTATGAAACAGCAGCAGCAGCAGAAGAAATAGATTGATGATATGCTTCTTTCCTCCTTTATTTCCTTTTTATAAGTGATCAAGTATTTTGTAAGGTAAAACAAAAGAGAACTCCAGCCTTAGGAAATACCTCCTAACTATATTTTTGTTTTGACTGGTTTGGAAAAGAAAAAAAAAAAGGAACACTCATAGCATTCTTTTTGACAGATTCTGTCTTTGACCTTTTAAGTATTACAATGATGTTATCAGGGTTTCTGGAAACCCTATAGGACAAAAACAGTAAATTGACTTTGACAGTCTAAAACAAATCTCATTATGTTTCGTCTGTCTTTCGTATTGCCTAAGCATTTTAGCCTGCTTCTTATACATAAATGCATCATGTACAGTGTTTATGTTGATATATTACTTTTGACATACAAAGCCCAGATTGTAACTTCCAAAATTAAAATAATGGAAAAAAAATTTTCTTGGATTATACACATTCTTTGTCTAACTAAAGATGATACTCTAGAGTGAAAATTTATAGGCAAAAATTACTGGTTAAGAAAACTTTTTTTGCAAATTATTTCCAGATCATCTGGTTACTGGATTATAGGATGTGAAAAACAAAACAAAACAAAATATTTCTTTGATATATTGTGCTTGTTGAAAGTTTAAAATGTTATCTGATAGTGTTCAAAGTTTGTGCATATCTCTCTTTTTTCTTCTTTTTTCTTTTAACAGTTGGACCCACTTGAACAAGCAAAAGTGGACTTAGTTTCTGCATATACATTAAATTCAATGTTTTGGGGTAGGTATATTACTTTGGAGTTAATAGAAAGCAAATTATTGTGTCAAAAAATTTTTTTATTATTTTTCACACTGTTCTGAACTTTTTTATTAGTATCTTTTAAAAAAATTTACTGGCGCATTTGGGGAGTTTTTCCATATTAATACATAAGAAACGCCCTCATTTGAAAAAAAGCTGTATACTTTCCATCATGTATACATGTCTTAATTTGTCTAATGAGTCCTCTGTTAATGGACCTCCGTCTTTCATATACTTTCCTATTTCAAGCACCGCTATGGTGACCAGTTTAGCTCATAGATGTACAAGTGCCAGATGATTTTTGTATGTAAGTCATTTTGCAATTGTGCAAGTTTTTTTATTTATTTTTATTTTGAAAATATATATAGTATGTGTTGAGTTGTCAGTGATGTTCTTTACTATGAAATACAATTCTAAAGAAAAACAAAGCGATTAAAAACCAGATAACAAAAAAACTCACAAATTAATGAGGATGAATTTTTTTAAAACAAAGATAATCTTAAGAGAGCCATTGAAAAAAGAATTTGTAATTTCCATGTAGAGGGTAATGGGAGATAAGAGTTTATACCAAAAATGATTTATGTTTTAAATGCTAGAAATTCATGATTATGCTCCATGGTAGTTTGGTAGTCATGTTTATTTCTTCTAAATCTTAGTAGTAGGTATCCATGAGTTACCTAGAAATTTAAGATAACATAGAGGTTAAATAATTTAAGATTAATTATTTATGTGACTTTTTTTTTGTGAGTAACTTTCATTGGCGTGCTCTTAATTAATATACATACTATTTTCTTCCATGAAATCTTTCTTGTGTAGTTTATTTGGCAACTCAAGGAGTTAATCCTAAGGAACATCCAGTAAAGCAGGAATTGGTAAGATTTCACTTAATTTCTTTTTATTTTCACATGTCTACTTGTTGTAGTATTCTTGGCGTAGTAGTCACAGCTACCTCTTCATTAATTATAGAGAACAAAGTTAGAGTTGAAATTTTGAAAGTGAGCCAGAGCTTATCATGTCTTTCTTTCTCTTACCTTTGTCAGAGAATTGGTGTTCCATATATTATATAAATCTCTGGATGGCAAAATGTTACGGTTCTAGTAATTATTTATAACTTCCATGTTATTTTTCCTATAAATTCTTGAAATCGTGTTCATCTCTAGAACTACTTTTTTTTTTTTTTTTAACTCTTACACAAATCTTAAAAGTGTATTCTAGTTGATTTACTAGCAAAGACGGGAAAGTTTCTCCCCCACCTTTTCAATTCCTCCATTAATTCATTTTCTCAGCAGTAAAGAATCCAGTTCAGCAACAAAGCTAAAAGCTTTTTTGGCACCAGTTGTATGTGTACTGTCCAGTAATTCTGCATTAGTGACATATTTACAACCTGTAATAAATCTTCTAGGTTTGTCTTTGTATTCCATTTAGATGTATAAGTACAATATATAAAGTCTGGTATCTTGGAGTTTTTGCTGACTTCAAAAATTAAATCAAATCATTTGATTTGAAGGAAAAAATTAGCAATCAAACTTACGGTTATCTTCTTGACTTGGCTTTATGAATAAGAATATTAATAAATTTATTCTTTGTGTTTATAAAATATAAGGTAAATATAGATGTGAAATATATTTGATATTGAATTCTTGTTCTCAGATCCTATTATAGTTATATGTATGTTATTTCTAACTTACTAAAGCACTTGGTCATTTATTTAAAAAAATGAATAAACCAGATCTGTTGTCTTCTTTTATTTTAACCTGTGAACTGACATTTTCTTCTTTTAAAGTTCTTTTTTTTTTTTTAAAAGAGGTTTTTGCTATAGGGCATGTGCGCTCGCCAGACAGAGAGAGAGAGAGACAGAGAGATAGAAAGTGAGAAATCACCCCCCAGGGGGATGGCCACGCCGCAATCCCTTCTCCTCCATTCTCCTCTCGGGATCTTGGGCACGCACGCACACACGCCCAGCGTGAGTTTAAGCCACCGGGTCCGGGACGCAAACCACGGTTGACTATGTGGGAGTCCAGCGACATAGCCATTACTAACTGCTAACTGCTGGTCTCCTCTTAAAGTTCTTGAGGGTGAAATAAATTTATTTTTAAATAGGACAACTGTGAAAAATATTTAAACAAAAAGATGAAGCAATATGATTACTAGATCTTAGTTTGACCAATGTTACTGGCTTTAAACTTTAAGAAGTATGGATTTGACATCCGTTGTCAGCTTTCCAATATGGATTTTACATTTATAAAATTCCTTTTTTCACTTGAACATAAAGTTATTTGGAGTACTCTATATTGCCTTTTTTTTTTCTTTTTATAGACAGATTTTTGCTATGGGGTGCTTTTGCTGGCCTGAGATGCAGAGAGAAACAGAGAGAAAGCGAGAAATCATTCCCCAGGAGGGATGGCCACTCCACGATCCCTTTTCCTCCATTCTCCTCTTGGGATTTTGGGCACGTGTGCATATGCTCCTGGCTTGAGTTTCAAGCCCTGAGTCTGACACTTGAACCACAGTCAGCCAAGTTGGAATCCAGAGCCTGAGCCACTGTGCCACCTGCTGGCCCCATACTGTCTTTCTAAAAGGAGATCATTTTGTCTATTTTGTCTGCAGAACCCATTTTATGGAGGAGTATACTAATACTCTGGACAAAGGTTGGGAAATCAAAAGCATATATAAACCTATTCTCCTTTTCTAACCTTGTGACAGACTTTCCTAATTGATCACAGAGTTAATGTGATAAGAAATCCATGCCATGTATTTCACAAATGAGGAAAGGCATTGAAAATAGTTTATCCATTCAGGAAATATTTGAGTATGTACTCAGATCCAGGCATTATTTTCAAGCTCAGTAATTCCACAGTAAATAAAACCTGTCTTGCCCTTGTGGCAGATACCAGTTCATATCTTATTGGAAGAAGGTGAATAGCATAACTGAGTAAACAAGTAATAAGTATAATGAATATGTAGTACTTTAGAAAGTTTCGTGTTATGGGGAAAATGAAAAAAAAAAAAATAGGCCAGAGTAATGGGGACTAGAGCACTTGAGTAGATGCAGGTTTAAGTGTTGAAGCCTGAGCCTCGGAGACGAGGTTACCATTTGCGCACACTGGAAAGGAGAGAGGGAGTGGCTGTGCAGAAGTCTGAGGGAAGATCATTCCAGGCGGAGGAGTAAGTAGGGCAGACGCTCCAAGGCAAGGCTGGGTGGGTGTGTGCTGCGGTGGTATCCACCGTTAAAAGGACTGGCTTTCACTCTGCCAGAAGAAGAGAGCCATTAGAGGATGTGGAATAGAGTTGCTAGTCTTTTACAATAGAAATATTCTAAGGGTCTGCGTTTTGCTCTGTGTATTTATGCAACTATTTTGATTATTTTAACGAAACTTGCTTTTAAGCAACGATCAATCATTTACTGTGCTATTTTACTGTTCTCATCAATTTTATTTCTCCATATGAAGTATAGGATAGCCATTTATGTGAATTAATCATCGCAGAAGATTCAGAGTGGTGCAGGAAAATTTGTCTCTCACTTTGAAAAGTTTGATTAGTATCGTATATTTTATTAGCAAATTTCATGTACTTGTCAGTCAGAATTATGAAGCTGAATAAAAGGTCTTGTGTGTTTTCATTCTGCCTGTTTGAACCGGGACTGGATGATAATTTAAAAAATAAAAGTAACACAATAGTTTCTCATCTGTTTCCTGTTCAGAAAAGCTTTAGGAGGATTTAGTTTGTTACCAGCATATGAAGACTCAGATTTTAGCATTTTAGACTTCAGACAGCAAGTAATTAACATGAGGATTTAGGTTAATCATAATTTTAAAAAATGTGTAATCAGATATAAACAATTTAATGTTTATTTCTGTATGATGTCGGAACACTTCTGAAAGATTCTTTAATGTCTTCTGTATTGCCTGCCAAGATTCTGAACTCCAGGAGAGGATGGAAGTTCATCCCACTTCCTTGCATTTACTAGCACCACATCCTAATAGGCAACTAGTACATGTCTGTTGAATTTAACCCAGATACAGAATAATAGTACTTAGCAGTGGTGAACAGCTTATTAAATCTACTGCCTTTCTTTCTTTCTCTTTTAATCTTTAAGGAAAGAATCAGAGTATACATGAACAGAGTCAAGGAGATAACAGACAAGAAAAAGGCCGGCAAGCTGGATAGAGGTGCAGCTTCAAGATTTGTAAAAAATGCCCTCTGGGAACCAAAGCCTAAAAATGCATCGAAAGTTGGCAGTAAAGAAAAAAGTAAAAATTAATGTTTTTGCTTTTGATGTATAATTATTAAAAACGTACATCATTTTTATTATTTTCACAAAATAGATGATTATGTGGCAATGCAAAGTTTAAATGTATTCCTTACTGAATTCATATATAAATTTACGGTTTAAATTTGTAGTGGTAACTACTGCTTCCCCACAGAAAGATTAAATTATCTTTATTGATATCCCTGCAGAACACGATGAGATTTTTAACATTGTGATATATTTTACCATCTCTTTTGACAAGACTCATAGTTCCTTATATAGGTCAATCTTGCAAATACTATTTGATAAGCAGCTGTGAAATTTAAGTTAAATGTTCTTTGTAAACATTTGTACTATTTTATGAATGATGACCTTATAAAGTATATTATTTGTAGGCTGAAGCTATAAGTACATCTGTTTTTACTATATTATATTAAGAAAGAATGAAATGACTTAAATTTTTTTTGTATATTAATAGTTACTTTATCATGTTTTCATGATTTTAAGAATTTCCTTTTTGATGTTAAAGTGTGAAATTAAAATTTTAAGATTGTACTTTAATTATTGGCACATGGCCTCCGTGTCTCACTTTAAATAAAATATATTTTCATTAACTTGGGATGGGAATAGGTTGAATGTTGACAGTTTAATTTTGGTATAAAACTGCTGTACTCTCTCAATAAAAGTTGTAAATACGTAGCTGACCCATTTCTTTTCTTTTTTTTGAGTTAATTTTCCCGCAGAATTAGGAAGATAGGTTTTAGATGTCATCACAATAGAGAAATTTGGGAGTTTTTGTCCCTGATGCATAATGCATACATTTCTCTTGGTCCTACTTTTCAGATATTTTTGATTATGTGTTTTTAAGACTGTATCAAGTACATGCAAATGTTTTATAACAATTTTCTGTGTTACATAATGCCACTTAAGCATATGAGAAATCCAAAGGAGATTACATTGTGTTTATATTCTGATTTATTTTTCTGTAATATTTGTTATGGAAAATTCTACATGGGAAACTTAAAAAAAACCAAGCCCTCAAATTTTAATTATATGCTCTTAGTGCTTTCAGCCTTTGAATCCACATCACTTTGTGTAGGAATGCCAAGTGCAGGAAAGTACTTTAATTTTTGAAAAAGGAGTTGTTAAAATTTTCTGTGTGATTAATTCTCCATAAGTAACCTTGAATAAATGGATTTCTTGATTTATGGTAGAAGATATTGGAAATGGTCTTAAAATGTAATGGATTTTGTAAAGCATGTTAAACTCTTTCTGTGACACACGAAGAAGTCACTGATAGATGCAGAAAGTCTTTTGTGGCTTTGATGTCAGACAATTTTTGAAGTGGAAGAACATTTATGAACATTAATAGTTATTTCTCTCCTCTTCTCACCTTGTCCTCTCAAATTTTGAGCTTTTTTAAAATAGTAACTTCTTCTTTTTCTTTTCTTTCTTTCTTTTTTTTTTTTTTTTTGGCTATAGGGTATGTGAGCTTGCCAGAGAGACAGGGAGACAGAAAGCAAGAAATCACCCCCTCCTCCCAGGGGGGATGGCTACACTTCAATCCCTTCTCCTCCATTCTTCTCTCGGGATCTTGGGCACACACTCACACATGCCTGGTGTGAGTTTAAGCCACTGGGTCTGGGACTCGAACCGTGGTCGACTACATGGGAGTCCAGTAACATAGCCATTATGCTAACTGCTAGTCCCTATGGTAACTTCTTCATGAGAGAAATAAATGTTATTAAGTATTTATCACAGACACTTAACAATTTTGCATTTATTTAGTTTTTCTAATTTCATTAAGAAAGGTTAAATGAAAAATGTCATCCAGTTGCAGAAAATCATTAGCCCAATTATTGGTTTGTGAAAGTGCAACTCTTCATTCTTTTGAATTGAGGTTCCTAAATGAATAATTCTTTCAGTGTTTATTTGTAGAAATAAACTATTTGAAGGAACAGCAGATGGCATAATGGTTACATTGCTGGACTCCCACATAGTTGACTATAGTTCGAGTCCTAGACCTGGCAGCTTAGAACTCATGCTGGGGATGTGTGTATGCATGCCCAAAATCCTGAGAGGAGAATGGAGGAGAAGGGATTGTGGTGTGGCCATCCCCCTGAGGGGGGGTGAGTTCCCACCCTGTGTCTCTGTCGCTCCAGTGAGCACACATGCCCTACAGCAAAAATCTCTCATACACACACATATGTGTATGTGTGTGTGTGTGTTTGTGTGTATATTCCACTGTATTATGTAAAACTTTAATTGACAATACTTCTTAGCATATAATGAAGAGTTGAATGGTAGTAGTACATTTTGTTGTTTACTTTGTTCATTTCTCAAATATACTTAATGACATTTGCATTGCCAGGGCACTAGGTCTTGAAGATGATGCCAACTTTTATCCTAATTTTATAAAGTGGAATGGAAAAAAATAGTCTTATCATTCAGTTTAGTTTTTCATAGTTACTGGAAAATTTATGGCAAACTGTGCTCATTAATTTTAGAACTGTAAAGGGTGATGAGTTGATACATTTGAATATGGTGCACTTACTGTTCGCATAGTTTGTTCCAAATGACCATCTGTTGTGGGACTACCAGATGGTATGATGGTTATGTCACTGGACTCCCATGTAGTCGACCATGGTTTGAATCCTGGACCTGGTGACTCAAAAAATCACATGATGGGCAAGTGTGTGTGTGTGTGTATGTGTGTGTATGCCCAAGATCTCGAGAGGAGAATGGAGGAGAAGGGATTGCGGCATAGCCATTCCCCCGGGGGATGATTTCACGCTTTCTGTCTCTGTCTGTCCAGTGAGCACACATGTCCTATAGCAAAAAATCTCTATTTTTTTTTTTTAAAAAAGACAATCTGCTCTTAAGTTTAAATGTTAATCACATCTTTTATTATTCTCTTTGGGACTTAACAAATTGGAGAGATTGCAGCTATAGGTATTTTTAAGATTAGAATTATAGACTTAATTTAATACTAAATGATATCTTTTAATATTATTTCAAGTACAAATTTCTTACTGTTCATAGCTGCCAATGGGAATTCATTTTACTAAAGTAGAATATGTGAAAAGAAAAATTAAAGTTTGAATTATGGTTTACATTCCTGGAATTATGTTATATAAAGCTAGCTTATAAAACAACTTCTACTTAGTTATTAGAAATGGAAGGGCATTATTTCTTAATAAGGCTGTTAAAATTGACCAGAAATGTAGGAAATGCTTCAAAAATGGACAGTGTTTTGAAATACTTTTCTTATGCAGTTAAGATACTTTAGGAAAATCACTCAGTTTGTGATCCAGTTAGAGTTAGAATTTTATACAATAAGTTAGCAGAAATTCTGGCTTTGCAAAGTGACATGAACTGAGAAAGATTTGAGCAGTGATTCTGAGCCTCATGTAATAGCTAAGTTTGGTGTACAAAGGAGGAGAAAGAGATCCTGATTTCTCATTTTTCCCCTTCATAGCTTAGTAAACTCGTTCACATAAATTTAGTGACTTTTACTAAATAATCTCGGTTGCAATCTATTTTATATAAATGTGACATGATAGACTAATACAAACATTTCTCTTTCCCATATTCTGGTCTAAAACTCAGATTTGGGAGTAAGCGTCATATTTTATTTTACATATTAGCATTTTATAATTGTTGTTAACAGTTATCTTGGGGGGAATGTCTGCAGGACATAGTAGAATTCTGTAGATTTGTCGTACTTGATTAATTTGCTATTGTATTGCTCATTCACAGAATTTTAAGGAAATGCTTTTTATGTTTTGGTTTGCAGATTGCTTTTCCTATCTAAGTGAGTTAATAGTCATAGACTACTCTTTGGAATAGCCACTGCCTGATAAGAGGTGCCTTTATGACACAATTTTTAATAGAGCCAGAAAAATTAGGAAAGCTATCCAGAAAAGGGATAACCATTGACTGTTGAGATGTAATTTTTAACTTCATTTTCCCTCTCCCCCAAGGCTAAAATCCAGAACCAGCCAGCTGTGTATTACTCATCTGCCTCTAAAAGGTGGAAAGAAGATGCTGGTTTTTATTCCCCCTCCCACCAATAATCCTTGAAGTTTAGCAAATGTATCATGGCAGAATAACTGTATGTAAGATGTCAGTTTTGTAAAGTGATATATTTCTGACAGTATACAAAATTTGATGGTGGGAAAAAATAAGCTTTTATAAATGAAACATTTAAGAGAGTCTTTTTTATTATTTGCTTTTTGGTTTAGTGTTGCCTTTTAGGTGCACCATTTCAGTTTGGCAGCTACGATAAATGACTGAAGGAAATTGAAGATGATAATTCAACATTTCAAGATGCTTCTGCTGAAATGAATGTAAACCTATCCTGGTTTGAATTTAAAGTGTGTAGTAATACCGTATTTTAAAGCCAAGTATTCAGGAAATTCATGGTGATATGAACTGAATGAGATGATTAGGAGAAACAGAAAAGAATACTTTCAATTTCTTGTTATGTAGATAATATTTTTTGAGATACTGTGTTGGAAAATGTTATTGTAAAAAGGATAGGAGCTTGTTATACATGGTTTGCTATAGGGTACAATTCATTTTAAACCTTACCTGAAAAGGTTTAGTTATTAACATATTGTAACAAGGAGTCACCTCCAGTTTAGGGCTAGAGCAGTGGATTGCCTGTAGACTATGTTGCCATGTATCTGGCTAGTATTGTTTTATTGGGTGAACTTTGATTTCTTTAGAAACCCGTTCTTTGAAACTGAAATAATTTTCTACCCTATTTACTTATTTAAATTTTCTAGAGGGCATGTACACACATGTGGCAGGGGAAAAGTGAGAACGTACCCCTCAGGAACCTCCTGTGAGGAATGGCCATGCTGCAAACTCTTCTCTTCTGTTTTTCCTTCCCGTCAGGATTTTGGGCACATATGCACATGCACCTGGTTTTTTTTTTTTTTTTTTTTAGCTGCCAGGTCCAGGACTCGGACTACACAGTCAGCCATGTGGGAACTAGCTGCCCTAATCACCATGCCACTGGCTGGCTCTCTACCCTAGTTCTTAAACTTTCTTCTCTGTCATTTTTCTGTGAAGAGAGAAATCATCATTTGAAAGTATGTATAGTAGTTGCTGGTATTACTCAGCTGCCGATTTAGCCTGGTTAACCTCTCAGCATCCACAGTTTTTTTTTTTTTTTTCCTCATATGGAGTTTTTCATTTACTTCCTCATTCATTCAGTAAATACTTATTGATTGCCTCCAGTGTGCCAGGTTCTGTTTTCAGCATACACGATTCAGCATTTACTCAAACATGGTTGTAATGGTTGGGAGATACCAAATGTTATTTTGTGAAAAATGGTTACTATGGGTTGCATTGTGCTCTCTCAAAATTCATATATTGAAAAAAAATTAAAAAAAAGAAATAATGTCATTGCATATGTAATCAGTGAAGACGAGGTCATCAAAGTGGGTCCCAATCCAATATGAATAAGTCATCTTATAAAAAGAGGAAATTTGAACCCTCTGTCCCCCACCACCACACACGCTTATACACTGACGAAGATGAAGGCAGATTGGGATGATGCTTCCCTGGAGAACACCGAAGACTGACAACAAACCACCAGAAGTGGGAGGAGAGGCCCAGAACAGGTTCTCATAGCCCTTATAAGGAACCAATGCTGCTAACACATCTCTTGGACCTGGGCTCCGGCACTGCAAGA